CCTGAATGACGGAAAATCAAATCAAATCAAATGAGAGAAGCATAACCAATGAAAATGAGGTAAGATCCCAAAAGAGAAGAGCATATCTCAAACGAGATGTACTATAACATACACAGAAGTAAATGCAACTAAAGCTAAGCCACTAACAACACCATGCTAAAGATCTAAGAAACTAAACAACTTAAAAGATGAAGACATAACCAAAAGACACTGATCCAAGAAGTGCGGACCTTATCTGTCTATTGCTCGTGCCCCATATAAAACAGAGATAGGATGAGCGAAGGACCCGATCAAAACCTTGTTTAGGAAGACTTCTAAACAAAGGAAAGAGGCGATGAATTTTAATTTATGTGATAATTTTCCAACTCTTCTACGGAGTACTAAATAAGATTGAAACAACAACATAAGTGAAACTACATTTGTCTCTTGGGCTTCTGGGAAACAGTTTGGCCCAACGCCACAAAAAATGCTTCGGAACATGATATAACACATTTCACAGAAATCTGGTCAAGTGTTTTGTTTTGATAACTTTTGTCTAACAGATTTCAGGTAGTCAATTGTCAAAATCCAACACTTCCAACAATGTCCCCAAAAATATTTTGTCCCAATGAAAAATATGAAGGTGTACTACAAAGATGCGTTCAAGGACCCACTTAGATTTTGTCCTCCCTATCTTTCACGATAGTGCTTGTCAAATGTCTAATTTAAAATTTATCACTTTCCTCAATCATTCGACCAATTCCCACTTTTTAAAGGAACAATTTATTTTGTTAAAAGATCTAACTTTCCTGGTCAAATGTCTAATTGGAACATAGTGATATTTTTAATTGTTAATAAGAAAGCCCATAAAAAAGCCCATGATAGTGGGACCTACATGGATATGTATATTTTGATGTATTTTTAGAACCCGACCCGGTTCAGTACACTCGTTCGTGAGTCGTGACATCTTCGTCCTCGAGGTCAGGTTAGATCCTATTTTCTCTTGTTTCTTTTGTAGTTGGAATTCATCTTCTGTTTTTATGTTTCTCTGAATTCGAAGGGTTTCTTCGTTCAATTTGTAGTGGATTTTACTTTAGTTGCAGTGTGTTTGCTAGAATCGGCTTTAAAAAACGTTTCTTTTTAGTGGAATTTGTTAATACAACTTGTGTCTGCTAGGTGTTCGATGAAATTCCTCTTAGAAACGAATTTTAGTAAAAATAACCTGAAATTCATCTTTGCTTCTTCAGATCTTGTCCCAAAATGTCTCTCCGTAAGCCTCAAATCCCTCGGCTTCTTCTTCAAAACGTTTCATGTATGAGAAACGCCCAGCAGATTCTAAGACACGTGAATGTATCTCTCCACGACGGTGGTGCACTTGTCTTAACTGGTACCAACGGTTCCGGTAAATCCACTTTCTTGAGAATGTTAGCTGGATTCTCTAAACCTTCTGCAGGAGAAATCCTTTGGAACGGTCACGACATCACTCAATCAGGGATCTTCCAACAGTACAAACTCCAGCTCAATTGGATCTCTTTAAAAGACGCTATCAAAGAGCGATTCACGGTTCTCGACAATGTCCAATGGTTTGAGCTTCTCGAGAACAAAATCGGCAAAGCTCAACCGGCGTTGGAACTCATGGGTTTAGGGAGATTAGTGAAAGAGAAATCGAGAATGTTGTCAATGGGTCAAAGGAAAAGGTTACAACTTGCAAGGCTGCTCGCTATCGACAGACCGATTTGGCTTTTAGACGAACCATCGGTTGCTTTGGATGATGAAGGAGTAAGATTGCTTGAGTACATCATTGCAGAACATAGGAAAAAAGGAGGGATCGTGATCGTTGCGACTCATCTCCCAATCAAAATCGAAGATGCTATGATCTTGAGACTTCCTCCTAGATTTCCAAGGAAAATGACTTTGATTGATATGCTTGATCGTGCAGACATATCTTAGAGAGTTTACATTTGGTTACTTTTTATTGTTTGTATCTGATGGAAGGATCCAACAAAAATTACCGTTGTTAAAAACTTAAGTCAAGTTTGATGCTTCTTCATTCACATTGTGCCTCTTATCTCCACTTGATAAGAAAAACAAAAATAGAGGAAAAAATGATAATCAAAATGGAATAAACAAAATTATAGGAAAAAGTGATAAATCAAAATCGAATATCACCGAGTAATATGCTTATACTGTATGTTTATAAAATGATAAACCAAAATGGAATATGCCAAATTTGACCCAATAACATCATAACTAAATGAAAATGATTCTATACAATATTTTGGCCACCCACTACTAGTAAATAAATACACTTTTGTTCTTTTCTCGTAATATTTGCAGCTTTTCATTCGACTAACGGACACTAGTGATGGATGGCATCAAAAATGGTCGTTTACATGATTATCCAAACACATTTTAGAGATAACAAAATCGAATATTAATTAGTTTTTCATTTCCATTTTATTTCAAGGACTGTTGATCCGGGTGTTCGACAATAAATTTGTATTCGGAAACTCCCGTTAATTGATGCTAACTCGGAAATAGGTTAATTACGAA